AAAACAAAGAAACAAAGAAAGAAAGAAAGCGTATACTACCTACCTAGGTTACATACAGACCAAGTATGGACATAAAGAACATACTGGAGCATTTACCTGCTAAAGAGCCAGATATCCTCCATGTGGGGGTAAAGACCGAAAACAGAGCAAATATTGGAGATATGGTGTTCAGCTGGACAGAAATATAACACACAGCTGAATGATAATGTTTCCTCGTGCTGGACGTGGGTGCTAGTGATGTGATCAAGTACACTCAGACAGGCTTGTTTTGATTTCATGTTATAAAACACAAAAGATGAAACCTGCACTAAAATGTTTTATTTTATTGGATAAAAAGAGACAGGAAAAAGAATGAAACTGATTTACTCCGATGTGGGTTGTTAATGCCAGAAAGCTGATGAAAATATTATTTTCAAACCTTCTTGTTTGGCCTCTTTGTGCCAGTTAAGGTTTTCTGCAGTGAACTGAATTAAGATAATAAGACTTCCTGCACTCAGACGCAGGCTGAAAGAGTGGCTTTGTCAAAAAGAGGCAGACCAACAAACTCTTTGAATTGTTTTGGAGCAGGGACAGGCCTCATGCACAAATGGCACTATGTAAGCTCATAAAGCCCGATTTATAAAAGGAGAGAAAAGAGTCAGCCTCAGCCCACTGCTTCCTCCTGGCATTATGCAGAAAAAAGCTGCAGGGCAGCAGAGTCACCGGGTCACTACATGAGCAAGAGGACAGGCTACAAAGTAAGGCAGCGTGTCTTTGTTATTAATATGTATGAATGATTTCTGTGAATAATATACAATAAATAATGCTTTGATCCTTAATGATAATAAAGCTCTATATGTCAATATTTAAAAGGTGAGGTTGTCTTATAGGAGAGATTTTAGTAAACCAAAGCTTCATAGAAAATTATTATATCTTGTATTGCCTTGTCAACCTAATGAAAGACTTAACTGAGGGCTCTTTAAAATAAAATTATGAAAAGTGACATGGAGATCAGAAGTGTTTTTAAGCTGTAAATCTTAAGTTGCATTGAGCCCATTAACTCTCAGAATGCTTTTTGTAGCCTCATTAGCTTGTTGTTCTCGGACCCAGAAGCTACTGTAGTCTACCCTCCTGTCCAGAGTGTGGTTACATATCCTTCCTTCATAGGGAGTCAGAAACAACATTTAACTGGTGTTTATTGATAAATAAATGCATTAATAAAATATTAATATTTAGTTTATCTCAATTGTTTTGGGTGGGTCAGCAGTATTTAACTGTTAAGTGCACTAATTACTTGATTCAAAACGTATGATGTGTTCACCTGTGTTCAGCTGGACTGGCACTTTTAAATGGAATTAATTATTAATCATATAATACCAGATCAAACATAAAGCCTGTGGGCCAGAATCAGCCCGGCAAAGACTCCAATCCGGCCCACTTGAAAGCTTTGGAAAATGCCAAGAAATGCACAGATTTTGAACTTTAAGCTGTGTTTTTATAATGTGTACAGGTTTTCCTACTGATAAAGCCCTCCCTCAATTCCCATTCATGCTATCCTACTACAACAAATTAGTTAAGTAATAGATAAACAACTAAATGACAGAAAAGTTTTTCACTCCCCGTCACCACTACTACTACTATTGCTATGTTTTTTTTAAAATCTGTGAATTAAGAAAAACTTTATGTTTTATAAATACAGGACAGTGCGAGCAATGAGCTACCAGAACATTCTCTGTAATTTCACACATTCATCATGTAACTAAGACAGTGTTTAACATGCACTTCTTTTTCTTATATTAAGAAATCTCAGGGGCTAAATGTTTAGGAAATGTCATTCACTGGTCCATTCAAGATCAAAGTGAGCTGTCAAATGAGTTTGACATTCCTGATATAAACTCTTCTATGGCTTTTGACTTAAACACCATTAGAAGTGTAAGGGTGAGGAGCCAAGAGCATGTGTCAGGGGTGTGTGTGTCTGTGTTTGTCTGAGGAGGCTGGACTATAACTCCATAGCTTGTCAGAGAGTCTGTAAGAAAGAAGCTATGAAGAGTATGAAGATGTGCATCTGGAGCATCTGTGACTGACACTTTGCAGTAAGTGAAAAAGATTTTTTGAGAAAAATAGATTCTCTTTTTCCCCCCTTTGTTTCTGCATGTTTTATTTTTGGATTTACATGGTGAAATGATCATATAGTCGGGCGACCGTGGCTCAGGGGGTTGGGAAGCGTATCTGTAACCGGAAGGTCGCCGGTTCGATCCCTGGGCTCTCTGTCCTGGTCGTTGTGTCCTTGGGCAAGACACTTTACCTTACTTGCCTACTGGTGTTGGCCAGAGGGGCCGATGGCGCGATATGGCAGCCTCGCTTCTGTCAGTCTGCCCCAGGGCAGCTGTGGCTACAACCGTAGCTTACCTCCACCAGTGTGTGAGAGTGAATGAATAGTGGCATTGTAAAGCGCTTTGGGTGCCTTGAAAAGCGCTATATAAATCCAATCTATTATTAGCTCTATACAATATTTGATCATGTTATAGGTTTCAGTTCTTGTTCCATGTGCTTCAGCTACAATCTAAAATAATCTATGCTTAAATTAACCTCTGTCTGCAAAATAGGTCTGTGCATATGAGAGCTAAAACACATCTATTTTAGTATCTACAAATGCAAGTTTCACAACTTTTTGGGCTGCTGGGCAGACTGTGTTTCCCCTGAGACTTTCACACTAAAAAAAGGAATGTTATGTGCGATGGGGGGGACTGAGAAGACTGTACAGATAAGCCTGTCAAACAGGCTTTGGCAAACATAACTGAAAGGACAAACAGGCAGGCAAGAAGCTGTAAATATTAAGAACTGTTGCAGTACAAGAAAAGGAGCAGCCCTTTTGACTTGTCCAAGCACAGCCACCACTTATAACTGTGTTGTATCAAGACTTGTGAGAAAGAAAGAGAGAGAGAACAGAAAAATACATTTCAGGCATAATGAAGTCATTACACCTGCACTTTTCCCACTGAGGCACATCAAATTACCTCTTGTTAAACAAAAAGCCTTTGGCAAGTTGTGAAATTACACAAGACACTGGTGACTGACAGAGTGACAACAGGGTGTGTGCACAAAGGTATTTCACAGCACAAAGCTTCTAGTGTAATCTACTGCAGAAGAGACTATCCCTGCTGTTTAAGAAAGGAACAGTTCGATCCTTACTGGGATAAGGGGGCTACTTGTTAACTGCCAGTGACTTTTCGTTATTTGTGTAACCACAGTTCTCAGAATAGCATCTGTGTTTTTGGTAGGTCTTAAGAGCTTGAAAAGAAGGTGTAATGTGGTAGACTAACGTGCGTGTTACAGAAGGCAAAACACCTTTAACCTTTTAAAAGACATTTCAACTCTTATCCCAAAGGTTTTTTTTAGTTCTCAAACAAAAAGGTGGAGATTCCCAGGTATTTAAAACCTAGTGGGTGTTGTCACTTAGGGGGTGGTCAGTGACCCACTATCATCATGCATCATCATCTGTGTGAAAAAGGCGTGGGTCATTACCACCAAAGGTTTTGGGTGAAACCACTGTGATACTTTTCCCTGCTACATGTGACCTACTGAAGTGTTGTTTAAGTAGGTATGTAATATTTTTCCCTCTATTGTGGAAAACAGTTGTTCAGTACGAAATGCCTGTGAAGTGTAGCTGTTCAAACGTTGCCATATGTAAAAGCTACAGTGCAAAATATTGAAACATTTCCAGGACAGTACTTTTAATGCATTATTTTTATGATGCAGCTTTATAATCCCTGCCCCCCTCAACTTAAGAACTACCCCCAAGTGGCTCTTAATGTTACTGGATTTCAAAGAAAGGGTGCCTGAACAGCTGGCAGGACCACATCCCAAGATCATCAAATATGTAAAAAACTAAATCCAGCAGGGAGGCTCAAACGACTTATTGTAGTTACTGAAATTGTTATTCACACTGCTAACTGCTCAACTTATTCCAGCATACTGTTAAAGTTTGGCATGAACCTGAGCACATTGTGTTCACTTTTGAAAGTGAATGAGTGCAATTGAGAAAGAGCGGAGAATTTATAGCAAAAATGGTTTACGTGACATGAGAAAGTGGGATGAGTGACGGGTTTAAGATGCAGCTGTGGAATGCGGCCACAAGTTGTAAATCATTGCTAAATGGCTGAGGAGATTATTTAGTCACTGTTGGCACTGCGTGTCAAGCATCCTAACAGGCATACATACGCAGTTTTACTTTGTCTTCAAAGAAAGAAGAGAGGGCTTAACAAGATTCTGAGCACAAGCCTGTTCATGTGATATGCATGTAGTGTTTGATGTTTACCTTGAGGCTCAGACCAATATTAGAGTCAATGAATTTATTAACTTACCTGCAGGAAGTTGTGTTCACATAACCTGTGAACACAATGCATGTTTCTACTTATTGGTCTCTGTATGAGTCATTTAATAATTAAAATAGAAAAACAAACAAACAAAACACAAAAAAAACCCAGGCAGCATAATGCTAGCATGACTTTAAAATGTCAAAATGTATAAAAATGCTTGAAATGCTGTAATCCAGTGTATTATTTGTAGTAATTAAACTAAATACAATTAAATTCCTTACAATTTAAGCATTAAATTGAAAAAGCAAACATCCACAACAGTTTAAGTTGTTCAGATATTCTTTGGTTTCAAACATTTTCAGTGTAAAGGAAATGCCCTTTGTATATTCAGCTTTTACAGCTGGTTAAATCAAATAACTCTACCCTATAGGAGACCTTTGTATGAATTTTTCCTGCACAGAAAAAGTTTCGATTGATCTGTCCACCCATCATCTTTGCTCATCTGTTATCAGAATCATCAGAATCAGAATACTTTATTAATCTCGAAGGAAATTATAGGTTACAGCAGGCAGCACGCTGAATGGCCCATGCGCACTTACAAAGGAACCCTCTGACCAAACATACTTTACACAAACATTACATTGGGGAGACATGTCAGAGAGATAGGCTGATAGGAAAAAAGAACAACGAAAATACATAACATGAGGTGAGAGGAGCAGAAAAAAAAACTCCACTCAGACTGAGCTCCTAATGGGAGAACAGTTTGAGAACAAAAATTATCAGCTGGGTCATGGCAGCACCACCACTATATTTTAGATGCCACACTTCCCACGGGTATAATCGCTCAAACAGGTTCTCGGTCTACTGTTGGGTGTGCCCATTTCTGGGTATTCCCGGGTACCCCTCAGGGGCCCTGGAGCTCATGTGGGACCTCAAACAGTTACTAAGCAGCAACTTTGAAGAGGCTGAGGTGAGACTTGCCTTTCAAACAGCAATCAGCTGCAGCTGCCTGTGGAGACACACCTGTCTATCAAACTGACCACACCCCGAAATTTAAGTCTTAAAAATCCAAACAGTTGGAAAAAAATAATCACCCTGAGGGGACTGGGCGACTAAACCTCTTCACTACACCTTACTTGAATCCTGTAGGTGTGGGTGTCATACTGAAACAGGTGGGGCCCTGTGATTGGTCCATTCAAAGAATTGCTGCCTGTTTATTGGATAAAAAGATGACAGTAACTTCTTCAAACTCAACACCAACCTCTCCTTTCCCCTTCCTTCAACAATTGCACCTCCTTCTTCAACAATTAGGCTGCTTGGTCTGTAGGTAGACAAAACCTCAGTTTGCAGTTTAGTTTATCCTTAGTGAAAATTACACTTTAACTGGTGAGTGAACATTTTTGCCTTATTGCTGTGAATGTGGATGGTTGATTAGGTGGCTTTTTTTCAAGTTTTCGTGCTGTGCGAGTGGCCTTTCTTGGAAGTGGGAAGAGTCAGGGAGTCACACGGGACTGAAAGAAAGTTTTACAGTCTTTCAACTGCAATAGACACATTTATTGTGTAACAGGTATGCTGGGCAGATTTATGCTTGCACAATTTTCTTTTCCTTTTGTTTCCTTGTAATTAATTTTTTGTAAACTTGTTAGTTTTATGAATTCTGAATACAGAATGTCTATTTTAATTTTAAATCTACAGTTTTTATTGTCAAGTGTGTTTTATTTAGTTTTTTTTAAAAAACATTAAGAGTCTGTTCTTTTGACTTGCTCTATAATAATTGTGGTTTTTGAATCATTCTAATGCCAGAAAGAGTTAATCTGAATTATTTCTGTCAGGTTAGGTGTTTAGTGTCTGCCTAGGGCAGGGGTCGGCAACCTGCGGCTCCGGAGCTGCATGCGTCTCTTTAGTCCTTATAGTGCGGCTCTGCGTGGTTTTTGAAAATAAATTAGAAGTATTTCGCTGAAGTGTATTTTATTTATGTTAGTTCTTTTTAAACTTGTAGTTCTAAATTGGAAGATTATTGTTATATTGAAATCTAAAAATAAAATTATATTCTATTATTTTTTTCATCGCTCAAAATAAGCCCGTATACCCGCCGAAACGCCGTGCATTTATCGAGACTTTCAACCCAATTATGGATCTTCAGATCTACATTATATCAGCAGCTGTTCTCCACCGTGAACTATGTTAAAAACAAATACCGCTCACGCCTCACAGATGACAGCTTACAGTCCTGCGTAAAGATGAAAGTGACTTCGTACAGCCCCGATTTGCAGACGCTGTGCGCAGAGGTTCAGGAGCAGAAGTCCCATTGTAAACATATCACGGCAGACCCGACGATGTTTGCATGAACATGCTTTTTAGCATCTCTTTATTGACCACTTTTCACACACGGTTGCTGTACGCATACAGCCGGCTGTAGCTTTTCAGCTCACAGCCTGACACACACCAACACAACAGCAGAGATAGCATAGACGTAAAGGCGGCGAGGCGTGATTTCGGGTGCTGCTCTGGTGCGTCCGCCTCAAATGCAGCGGCGTTGCAGACCACACCCCGCCACACACATTAAGCAGGTAAAATACATATTTAGGCAGAATTTTGCAAATATCTATTTTTCATTTTGTAGCAGCATAGTGCTTTTTTTCCAATTATTTTTTTAAAAGTCAGGCTTCAAAAGCCCAAAGGAGATATAAGGGTGGCGGCTCACAGTTTTTGTTTGCTACATGGATCATTTTAGTTCACCTGGGTGTCTTTCCTTTTGTTATATTTCTTTAAGAGTTCAAAATGTGTTAATTACATAAATAAAATGTAATTTTCTCTGTAGCACTTCATGGATTTAAGCAACACACCTTAGTTGTTCACACAAAGCATAAAGGTAGAAAACAATATATACAGTGTTATTTTAGATGTCAAAAAGTATTTGCGGCTCCCAGTGTTTTCTTTTGCGTGGAAACCGGGTCCAAATGGCTCTTTCGGTGTTAAAGGTGGCTGACCCCTGGCCTAGGGGTTTTCTGCAGGAAGAAATCCTGCTGGTCTGGTGCAGTGCAAAGCACTAAATGTACAACTTTTTTTGTAAGTGGAAAATTGCAATAAAATCAAAGCCTGTAATACTCAAGTGTATATTAAAGATCTGCTATAACTCATTCACTTGGCCTTGCAAACTGGTCAATCTCCAGGAAGACACATCGCTGGATTTGTCTCCATGTGGAGTTTTTTTGCTTATTTGCAAGAGCCCATTTTCTGCAAGACATCTCATCATGACCAGATTAATGTGTACAGAATTTAACAGAAATGAGTACTTTAAAGAAAAAACGGAAAAAAGTTAATACTGTTTTGGGTCTACTGCATTTTTTGGGCTATAAGGCGCACTATAAATCCTTTTAATTTTCTCAACATCGACTGTGCATCTTATAATCCTGTGTGCCTTATGTATGAATTCCAGTTGTGTTTACTGACCTCGAACCGATTTTATCTGTCAAAAAATGTTGTAGTACGACTTTGGTAAGCTACGAAGCTGCACTGCTTGATGGATTGTTGGAGCCTCGTGGAGTAATCTGTGTCCAAAACTCCGTCCGCTTCAGGTCCCAAAGTCAAACGAACACTGAAGCATTACTGTCTGAATTCTTTCACCTTTAATAAAATGATCAGCATTGCTGCTTTACCAGATGTAACAAGTCTAACATCCAGGCATCCATGAAAACAGAATTTACTAAATTTAATGGAGTTAGAAGTTAGCAGGAAGTTAGCTCGCTAGTTTCCACCTAAACATGATACAGCATGTTCTGACTGAGGGATTTCTGAAAAAATTCAAACGTACAGCTCTGCTATCACTTCCAACATAAACGAAGACAGAAAACTAAACAGCAGTGATGCTTGTAGGGTTACTGAAGTTGGACTAGCTGGTATATAATGATGTATACCAATAGCGCACACAGGGAAGTAATCAGGGAATGAGAAACAGGAGGAAGACACAGCTGGGAGAAATTAGGCTAATGAGACAAGGGAGAAGTAAAACACGCTGACATGAGACATGAACTTTCAAAGTAAAACAGGAAACCAGAAACAATTCACAAAGATGCGGACTGAGAAACATGGACTTTACACAGAGGGACACACGAGCAGAGAAGACTAAGCACAGAACTAAACCTATACTAAACATGAGGGCAAGAGAACAAAACCTAAACCAGAATAATTAAAATAATCAACACAGGATAGCTAAAGAATCAGAACATAAATATAATGAACATAATCTAGAAAAACACCAAAATACAAGAAACCGAAAAAGCTGGTTCAAAATGACCCAGAACCGTGACACCTTGTGTATGAAAACAGACCCATTCATCGACGGTGCGCCTTATGATCCGAAAAATTCTTGCTGTGTAGACATGGTGAACAAAAGAGTTGCACCTCCTGACTTCAGGTTGAATGCAGGGGACATGCTATCCCTAATATTTAGACTGTGCCTTTGTCCCTCTAGTAATATATAAAAGGAGCAAATCGGTCACTAGAGACTGATTTCTTTACTTGAAGGCAGGAATTTCCATCATGAATGTTGCAGAAAACCCACTAAATCCACCAGGAAAAATTGAGGCTGACACTTGTCTTTTCCTGGGGGAGGATACCCAAACCATCGGATTAATGTGCCACCAAAGCCCTCACACCTGCTCACCTTAAGACACAAAGGGGCGATCGGTTACTGTCAGAGGAACACACTGTCATGTTAGGAATTCCTCAGGCCTCTGGAGTCGCTGTTAATCAGGGAAATGCCCCAAGTTAAATAGAGCATGGAAGCCTGTCAGGGGAAGGTGGACTGGAGTATCAGGAGAAAGACTACTAACCACACAGGGAGGCAGAGCAGTGGGGGATTTCTCCGGAGAAACGACTGATTTTCTGTGGCTGTGTGTGTCTCTGGCAAGATGATTTGGGCCACAAAGTTGAAATCACATTGCCAGAGATTACTGCACTGCTACGGAGTCTCCGACTGTTCCTGGAGGGCATGCATATACCTGTGTACTGGAGGTTCTTCAAGCAACCAGTCTGAAAGAGCTCATCCGAGGCACGGTCAGTGGATTGGTGCTAGCTGTGTCATGTGTACAGTGTCTGATTGGGTGCAGAGCTTAGTTGACTGCTGACCAGGGAGTCTTGAATATTTGTTCACAGTGGCTAAGTTCGTCACTCATACAGAGATGATCGGGATTTTTTTTTTAACTTGGCGAATGGCTCTATTGAAGACTGTTTTATGAGGACATTACACTCCTGCCATGTTTTGTTCATTATGTAGAATTTCACCTTGTGACTATCAGGGGTCACATGTGGAGTCTCTTTACCATCTTCACGATCCCCTGAGAAAACATCTGGCCTCCCCCTCGTGCTTTCTGAGCTGACAGCGGTTTGATCAAATACACTGGCTCAGTTCAGCAGGAACGAGAGTTTAGTCAGCGGGCATCATCTTAATGCCAGATGAGCAAATTTATCCACAAAGAATTGGAAGTGTTTGTTTTTCCAAATCTTCAGTTTGACATTTTGGTGTTTACCCTTTTCCTGAAAGGAGTCAATTTCCTTTTAACGACTTTTCTTTTCCCATGTCTGCAATTTGCCAGATTTTCTCTACCTGTGCCTTGTTCCCACCCGAAGTCTGGCCTGTCCCTCTCATGCCTTCATACATTGTGTGTGTGTGGGGGGGGGGGGGTTGTCTTGTTGTGTGTGGTGTTGTGTGTGTTGTGTGTGGGGGGGTTGTGTGTGTGTGTGTGTGTGGGGGGGGGCTGTGAGTACAGCAACTTTTGGTTATCAGTAAGTGCCAACAAATATCTTTATTCTTCTACCTGCCAGCCCTCTGTCTGCATTTTGGGTCACAAACAAGACATTTTTCCTGTACAAGTCACAAAATGACAATTTTCAAAACTGCTGGAGGGTCATGATGGAGCGATGGAGGACCTGCCGATTGCTTCACGACAGCGGAAATTTCAGTTGGAAGACCTGTGAAGTACCTCAACAAATGAAGCCACGAACATCCATAAAACAGCATGTTTTAAAGTATTAAGGCTATTTTTTTTCCATTTTTGAAGATCTGATTTCTTGTCTATACTTCCTGGATTTGGAGGGGAAAATGACATTTAAAAAATATTTCCCCATCAGAGGTACATTTGTAATGTGTACCACACTTAGTCTGGTGGGAAGGTTTGGTCAAATGGTGAAAAAACAAACACCTTGTATCTTTTCATGGCTTTTCTGGAAACAGTCCCCCGCTAAATCAGGTGAAGGTGTCTTAAACAGTGCAAAGTCATTTATGGTTTATGCCCTTTATGACCAGATTCTATTAAATGTAAAATTTCACTTTGTACTTGTGTAAGCACATTTAAAATTAACGTTGTTTTTCATTTTTGTACATAACTTTATAAACAGATTTTGCACAACTGCATTGTGTTAGGTTTATAGACTTATGGATTCTGGTCTAATCTGGGAAATTTAAAGACACATGACCTACTTGTTTTGTCAGTTTTGCTGTTGTCTGTTTGGATTGGGATGATGTTATTTTGTTCGTTTTATAAAGCATGAGCCAGTATATCCTCTGCAAAACGAGGTAATGAAACACCTTTTCTTAGTATTTAGAGGCTCGACCAGTTGAACACAAAAATCTAGTCTGTAAAGAAGTAGTACCGCTTTGTGGCCCATAGAGAGCAGCAGCGAAATGCATTTACTGTCTTTGGGAAATCAGTCGAAGAAGTAAAGAGAGGAAACAAACATGAGCTGCTGAACTTCAGCAGCAGAGGATGTCTGGTTTTATGAGTACTACAAACAAAGTCACAGTCAGACATGTTCAGGCTGGAAACATTTGAGAGTCAGTTGTCGTCTGTGATGGAGACTCTGGTGGAGGCGGCCGTGACAGAGCTCGGGAGACTTCTGGAGAGGAGCTCGGCTCCGGTTATGGCCGCTCAGCAGCGCTCAAATGCGGCTTCCGTAGTCGCCGTGAAGCGCGAGGATGAGGAGAGGGAGGTGACGCTACGCAGACAACTCCTTCACGAGGATGTCACGGTAACCCCGCGGTCACGCGCGCACGGGAAATGTGTGCGGTCTCACTGATGACAGGAAATTTACTTTCCACTAGTTCCACTTACCCTTCTTAGCTTAAGTGTACGGTGTCCTAAAACGTATACCGTATAAGTGGCACACATGAGCACTACGTCACCCAAAAGTCCAATCGTTTGTTTCCATGGCGACCACTCCAACAGAAATCCCATCTTAGAAGCTAATCATGAGTTAGCTTCTTCAGCCTGTCAGGGCAGATGAATGAATGAAACTTTGCTGCACATTTTGTTAAACTACAACGAACTACAAGCTCATGTTCACTCCATGGACAATTTATTAGTTACAGCTTACTAATAGTGGGTTGTAACCCATTTTCCCTGTAGAAATATCTTAATTCCTCATCGCATAGCTTCATGAAGTTGCTGGAAATATCCCTTAGAGTTTTTGGTCCGTGGTAACATGATGGCACATCATGATGGCACAACCTTTGGAAGGTGGTGGAATGGGAGACTCGCATGTCTCCCATTCCACCACCTTCCAAAGGTTCTCGATTGGATTGAGAGGTGGTGAATGTTGAGGCCATTTGAGTAAATGGCAAATGGCCTGCATTTATATAGCGCTTTACTAGTCCCTAAGGACCCCAAAGCGCTTTACATACCCAGTCATCCACCCATTCACACACACACATTCACACACTGGTGATGGCAAGCTACATTGTAACCACAGCCACCCTGGGGCGCACTGACAGTGTACTGACAGTACAGTGAACTCATGCTCAGAGATGCTCTTCTGCACACATTAGTTGTAAAAAGTGGTTATTTGAGCAACGGTTACCGTCCTATCCTGCCCATCCTCCTAGAGATGGTCATGTGCAAAACCCCAGTAGATCAGCATTTTCTTAAGTACTCAGGCCAGCCTGTGTGGCACCAACAACCTTGCAGCTCTGCTTAAATCACCTTTCTTCCTAATTCTGCTGATCTGTTTGAACTTCAGCAGATCGTATTCATCATATCTAAATCCCTAACTTTAATGCAATACTGTTATGTGATTGGCTGACTATATATTTGCAATATCATTCTGTCTTTCCTGTGATTGTACAGAACCAGTTTGCTTCCCTGATGAAAAAGTGGGCTGAAGTTGCTGTGGAGAAAATCTCCTTAATTTTCAGTGTGTCCATGAGTGACGCCAGAGATGCTCCTGCTTCAGAGAAACCCAGAGCAGGGCAGATCGATACTGGGGGCAGAAAAAGTAAATAAGCTGATGGTTTATGAGGCTTTCAATGTTCTCACTCTGGGATTTCTTTGTATATTAAACTAGGCTTTTAACTTTTGTTGTGTAAAAACAGAATCTGTGTCCAGAAAGAGAAATAACATGCAAGGATCGCAACCAGCAACAAGACAGATGAGTGATCACTTATACTGTAGAGGTATTCAGCCAGTAACCAATAAAAAACCCCACTTTTTTTAAATTAAATTTTGAAAACAGTTTGGAATTTTTTGTGTGTTTTCAGAGGAGGAACAGATCGAACAGTCAACAGATGAAGCTGACCCAGAATCTGTGCCAGAACCTGGTAACTATGTTTTCTTTACAAGTTACTGCAGCTGTTTTTATACACTCTTTACTATTTTAGGGCTCAAATAAAATGAAAAGAATATAAAATAATTTTAAAAATGCACATTTTTAATATTTTGTGGACAATCCTGAAATCTGGAGCCCTCGGACATCATCAGATAATGAGTTTCCTCCTTTGTGAGGCTTTATCAGGCCTCTACTTGAGCAGTCTTCAGGTGTCAGTCATTGTGTTTTTTTCCTGCTCTTTAGTTTTCAGCAAGTGGAAAAAGCCACTGGGCTCAGAGAAGGTTGAATCACTTAGCCACTGCAAAATATTCCGCATCTTTACATTTCAATAGGTTCCGTCTTGTTCTCACAATGTTTTGGGCTATTTTCCATCTGCTTTGTGAAGCAATATCCAGTTAGTTTTGCTGTGCTCAGAAGAATCTGGCGTATGATTTTTGATATTCATACTTTCTTTTACCTTCTTTATTTATGAAGCTTTAATGAAGAACTGCTCATGCTTGACCGTAAAACAACTGACTGAATTATGACTTTGTATTTGAGTCCCTGAAAACAGGACTGTGCAGTAATTATGGCTTTATTTTTCCAATATTTACGTTATAAAAATGCAAGCATTATCAGAACTTTAAGCACATAATCATGATGTAACTGCGATCTAACATATGTGTAGCACACAACTGTAATAGCAAAACTAGCTGCAGTGTCCAGATAAATGAATCAAGTTATACATTTAAACACAGTGGGATCCTCTGTTTAGGAGTTTGACTTTTTATAACAGCAGTATTACTGAAGTAGCATGTTTGCAGTGTGGCATTAAAGTCTTTGAAATGGATAGGTTGGTGTTACTCTCTTGTTAGTTCTAGTGTTGTTTTTGTTTCAGCTGATCCAGCATCACATGAGGAAAATAGCTCTGAAGTCCTCTCTGAACCTGAAGTCACAATAGCAGATCCTGAACTAGCCTCCAGTGTCATTGAGGAAAATGGCGTCCAAAAAGACACTGAGCATGAATGCACTGCTGTAAAAATCGGAAGGAAGCATCCCACCAAGGACTTCACATGTCCTACGTGTGGCAAAGCATTTGCTCTGAAGTGTTTGATGAACAGACACTGCCTGACTCACTCCAAGCCTCACCTTTGCTCTGAGTGCGGCAAGCGCTTTGCCGGACTCCGTGGGCTCATTGCACATTCGAGAAAGCACACCGGGGAGAAGCTTTACAAATGCTCCAAGTGCGGAACGGAATTTGCGTACAAATCGACCTTCCACAGGCACATGCGTCAGCACAACCTAAACAAACCGATCACCCACACGTGCTCGCTGTGCGAGGAGCAGTTCACGGGGAAACAGGCGTTTCAGCGACACATTTGTTGCGCGTTGAAGAAGACATTTGTTTGCTCACTTTGCCCAGAGACCTTCGAGTGCAGGCAGAGCTTGGACGATCATGAGAATCTTCATTCAGGAAACAGAGATTTCGACTGCAAAATGTGCAGCAAGACCTTCTTCTCGTCTGCATCTTTGGCCGCTCACCGAGTTACCCACACACAAAAGGAAAACTGCGAGGTGCTCAGCCTCGGTTTCAGTGACACGAGCAAAAACGCCGGAGAAAAGCTTTTCACCTGCGAGGTGTGTGGCAAAGGATGCAGTCACAGGAGCGCCCTGAAGCATCACATGCTGACCCACACGGGCGAGAGGCCATACGTCTGCGAGACCTGCGGCAAACGCTGTGGACACGCCAGTGCACTTCAGAACCACATGAGGATCCACACGGGCAAGAAACCAGGAGAGAAGCCCGTCTGCAACGTGTGCGGCAAGAAATTCCGCTGCATGGTCAATCTCAAGTATCACACGAGTGTGCACACGGGGGAAAGGCCGTACGCCTGCGATCAGTGCGACAAGAGATTCAGCAACCCGAGCAATCTGAAGATGCACATGATGACGCACTCAGAGGAAAAGATGCACAGCTGCAGCATCTGTGGCAGGAAGTTCACGCAGCTCTACAGCCTGAAGCTGCACAGGCAGGTGCACGCGGGAGAACGGCCATATCACTGCGTCGTCTGTGGGAAAACTTTCATAACCAACAGCGTGTTCAGGACCCATCAGAAAGTTCACCTGCAGGAGGCAGGACAGGGGCAGACTGGAAAAACTGCAGTGAAAATCTAAAACGCTCTGTGAGGTCACTTCTTGTACTGGTTATTGGTTTAAACTCTTTCTAATGGCCAGCAGGGGGCAACTCCTCTGGTTGTAGGAAGCCATCCAGTTTAATAGGAGTTTAATAGTTTCAGGTCATACTGAATAAAGCATGAACCTACTTCTGTTAAATACGGTCATTATTAGAGTCAGAAAGGATGATAATCTAGGACATGTTCTTGAGATGATGTTCCGAAAAGGACAAAGAAAAGAATTGCAATGACTGACCAGCTCAGAGACAGTTGGCACAAAGGTCACCTGATCAGAGTAGTAACGATAAAAGTGAGAATGAGGAGAGTTTGACGGTATCGAAGTGGCAAACAACCTAAACAGAAGAGAGCAGGTAAATGAGAGATCAAGTCAAAGTTTCATCACTGATTGATGACACAGATGCTTCACCAGAAGGACTGTGTTAGAGAACCTAACAAAGGTTGGTGGGGTTAAAGTTAACTCTTAAACTTGGGCATGACGATTTTGGTGAAAATACTTTTACTGTATAATTAAATGAAAGCTTATATTCACAAATGAAGCAATTTGATTTCTGTCTGTGTACAGAGAATCATTAAAGTACCCACTTTGTTCAAATTAACTTCTTCAAAGTTAAACATTTTTTAACGAGTGGTACGTCTTCATTAGCAGCTGCTGACTCTAAGTTTCCTTTTAAAGCAGAGCTCGCTCTCAGTTTAATATATTTTTTTCACTCGATCGGTTTTACTGGAATTACACGAATTACTTACATGTTGGTAATTTCCTTTGTCATTAAACAAAGGAGGAAGTAAATGGGGAAAATAAAGAAAGCAGATAACTGAAGCTAATTAGCACTTCTTCATTGTGCCTGAAACCTTATAAAAAAACTATCAGGAAGATACACAAGCCTGAGGGGGAGTCTTGACATTTGGTGGCTTTTAACTCAATAATAGTTACACTTCAGTTTTTTAGTTTCAGTTTTTTGTGCTGTTGTGAAATTTTCCTCACAGTCCACTGTTAGTGGTATTATAATAAGTGGAAGTGATCCAAGAGTTCCATCACCAAAACCAAATGCAAAGCGTTGGATAAAGTGGTTGCAGTGGAGTAAACCACGCTGCCACTGGACTGTAGGGCAATGGAGATGTGTTCTTTGGAGTAACAAATCACGCCTCTCCATCTGACAATCTGATGGACATGTCTGGGTTCGGTCGTTGCCAGGAGACTGTACATGTCTAACTGCATTGTGCCAAGTGTAAAGTTTGGTGGAGGGGTGATTATGTTGTGGGGCTGTTTTTCAGGAGTTGGGCTCGGCCCCTTAGCTCCAACTCATTTTAGACAATTTAATTTTCCTAACTTTCTGGAACAGTCTGGGGATCGCCCCTTCCTCCTCTACCATGACTGCAGATCGATGCACAAAGCGAGGTCCATAAAGACATAGATGAGCGAGTTTGGTGGGGAAGAACTTGACTGGCCTGCACAGAGTTCTACCTCAAGCTGACACCTTTGAACACCTTTGGGCTGAGTTACAGTGGAGACTGCGAGCCAGGTCTTCTGCCCAGCATCAATGTCTGACCTCATAAATGCACTTCTAGAAGAACAGTGAGAAATTCCCATTAACACTCCTAAACTGTGTGGAAAGGCTTCAAAGAAGAGTTGAAGCTTCTTTAGGTCTTGTGAAGGTGGCAAACATACTGCAGGTGGTCCAGAGCAGCATAGCTTTGGATGAAGAGGATGGCTTCCTGGTGGAGATGAAGTTAAATACGTATGATGCTTAAGCCATAGACTGTATAAAAGATACATCGGAACCACTTTTTTGTTTTTGGAGCAAGAAGTGAGCATACTTATCTACAAGAGGTCAAAGTGCTGAAGTTATTTGCTAACTCCAGCAACCTGGATTCATAATGCACAGACTGCTGTTGGATGATCCACACAATGTGGACTCTTTACCTTCATCTGAATGGAAAATGTCATAAGGTCAAAGAAAGCCATGAAGGAGGATTAATGAAGATGTAGGAAAAGAGAATCAACTGCACTTCACTAGGTTACTAGTATAGCTAGCTCGGTAGCGAACAATTTAAATATTCCCCTTTTTGTTTAATCTTCAAGTGTGAATCTCTATAATGGCTTAAAAAATCGTAATATAATACAATCTAACAGTGACAAAATTCCTCAAGCCACATATTTGTGTATTTATAGATGCATTTTTGAAGATATACATTGAAAAATAATGTAAATATGTGACCTTCCCTAATATTTACATCTTCATATTTAATATTTTTGTGATCACTGCTGATTACACGGAGCTAAGAAAAGTAATTATGTTGTTTAGAAATATTTAAATGAGTGTCACTGAATCCAGACCTATTAAAGTGAGTCACTGTGCTCTGTTATGTCATCCACTAGATGGAGGTAGAGGCTCAACACAAGAAGCTACAGCAGTAACATTCAGTTCCACTAAGGTGCAACATGATGCTCCTTCAGAGACTGTATGATTATCTGTTGATACTGTCTAACATATTGCTACACAGTGACCTTTAGCAGCATTACCTTGGCAATGGATCTATTAGAAATCTATGAAACCTGTCCAGCTGTAAAATCTGTGTTTGAGTTAAAGAACTTGGGACTTTCTAGTTGTTTATTATCTTTGTTTTCTTCTTGCAGCTATTTTAACATTTATCACTTTTGTTTATGTCTTTTCTTTCAAATATTTCAAGGTAAAGGCAAAAACACAGAAATTCAAAACTTTTTCTTTTTAGGTCAATTGAAGATTAAACAAAGTCTGAAAGGTTGCTGCCAGAAAAAACTTGATTTCTTGAAAACATGAAAAATAGTGCAGAATTCTGGTTTCTCGTGGCTGGAACAGCACTGAGTATTTCCCTGTGTGAGTCCTGCACTAAGCGGGTCACACGCTTCTAATACCAGTTTATTGCATTTAGTCTAACCTTTCTGAGAGCTCTGCTTAATGCGGCTAAGAATTCAGTGTTTTCACAGAGATTAAACTCCCACTGGCTCAGAGGTGAAGTTCTCTTAGCAGGACATGTGTTTAAAGGAAATGTAAGACACACAGTGTTCCTCATTTAGTTTATTATCTGAACAACTGAATATTGATTATGCAAAAAAATATATATACGTATGTAAGTTATGGATATTATATATATTAAAGACCAACTACTGTCTGACAGCTGCTGGACAGTGGTGACTATGGCGGTAGTACTTTTGATTCAGCGCATTTAGTAAAGTTAAATGTGAAGGAATTCATTCATATGCTCAAAAAAGTGTTTTAGTTCAAACACGCCCAGCTAACTATCCAATAGTTACTAATTTTAAAGTATTACTTTGCTGTTTGTGCCGCACATTTTAATCTTTTAGGATAAATTTCATGTGGTGGATTTAGTGTTAAACAGTGGCTGTAATCAGTGTTTTTATGCTGACAACAAAATGTATGAACACATTTGTTTTTGGGTTAGTGGCATTGCTTCAAATAAATGTGTCAAATTCTTTGACTACCAAAAATATGTCACTTATACTACTGAAAGGTTCTGTTTTTTCACTATAGCTATATAAATTTCGTTTTTTGTGGGTTTTTTTCCACATTATAGATCCACAGTTTAAAAAAAA